TAATACTTCACACATTATCACTAAATACAAAATAAACACAGAAAGTTTATTGTACTTACTTAGAAACAACATTGCATTCACACATATAAGACAACACAACAATGTATATTGTCAGTTGCATAGGAATATTTGAGTCTGTTGCTTTAGGTGCTGTAATTGACACTAGAGATGAGCGAATTATTCAAAAATTCGATTCGGCTGATTTGCCGAATTTGCGGGAGAAATTCGATTCGATGCGAATTTATTCGCCGCAAATTTAACTTATTAAAAAGGGTTTCTAGGCTTCAGAGAGCCTTTATATTAGTGCAGAACACTGTACCTTTAATTTAAATGCCCTTGGAGTCTGCTGGGGAAGAGAAATAATACTGTCAGTCAGTATGACATGCAGATGAGTGCCGTCGATCTTAGAATCACCGCACACTTCACTCATTTGGGCAGTCACGGGGCACGACGAAGAAGACGAAGAAGAAGAAGAAGAAGAAGAAGAAGAAGAAGAATGAAAAGAAGAATGAAAAGAAGAAGAAGAAGAATGAAAAGAAGAAGAAGAAGAATGAAAAGAAGAATGAGAAGAAGAATGAAAAGAAGAATGAAAAGAAGAATGAGAAGAATGAAAAGAAGAATGAAAAGAAGAAGAAGAAGAATGAAAAGAAGAATGAGAAGAAGAATGAAAAGAGGAATGAAAAGAAGAATGAGAAGAATGAAAAGAAGAATGAAAAGAAGAAGAAGAAGAAGAATGAAAAGAAGAAGAAGAAGAATGAAAAGAAGAATGAAAAGAAGAAGAAGAATGAAAAGAAGAAGAAGAAGAATGAAAAGAAGAATGAAAAGAAGAAGAAGAAGAATGAAAAGAAGAAGAAGAAGAAGAATGAAAAGAAGAAGAAGAAGAATGAAAAGAGAAGAAGAATGAAAAGAAGAAGAAGAATGAAAAGAAGAAGAAGAAGAATGAAAAGAAGAAGAATGAAAAGAAGAAGAAGAAGAATGAAAAGAAGAATGAGAAGAAGAATGAAAAGAAGAATGAAAAGAAGAATGAGAAGAATGAAAAAAAGAATGAAAAGAAGAAGAAGAAGAATGAAAAGAAGAAGAATAAGAATGAAAAGAAGAATGAAAAGAAGAAGAATGAAAAGAAGAAGAAGAAGAAGAAGAATAAAAAGAAGAATGAAAAGAAGAAGAAGAAGAAGAATGAAAAGAAGAAGAAGAAGAAGAATGAAAAGAAGAATGAAAAGAAGAAGAAGAAGAATGAAAAGAAGAAGAAGAAGAATGAAAAGAAGAATGAAAAGAAGAAGAAGAAGAATGAAAAGAAGAAGAAGAAGAATGAAAAGAAGAATGAAAAGAAGAAGAATGAAAAGAAGAAGAAGAATGAAAAGAAGAAGAAGAAGAATGAAAAGAAGAATGAAAAGAAGAAGAAGAAGAATGAAAAGAAGAAGAAGAAGAATGAAAAGAAGAATGAAAAGAAGAAGAAGAAGAAGATGAAAAGAAAGAAGAAGAAGAATGAAAAGAAGAATGAAAAGAAGAATGAAAAGAAGAAGAAGAATGAAAAGAAGAAGAATTCCAGTACAGCAAAAAGTGTATCTGCAGAGAGCTCCGCTATTTCTGACAGTTCTCTGACAGTTCCTTCACATTTACAGCGGTTGAAACATTGTATCTATTTATTTCCGAATAAAAACATCTGTATCCTAAATGGAAACAAATAGATACAATGTTTCAACCGCTGTAAATGAACTGTCAGAACTGTCAGAGAACTGTCAGAAATAGCGGAGCTCTCTGCAGTGACACTTTTGCCGGCTGATCGGGGAAAATTCGATTCGTGCATCCGAAGTTTGCTAAAATTCGGATTCGATGCGAATAGAATTTTTCCTAATATTGGAAACGAATTCCACTTCGCCAAGTTCGATTCGCTCATCTCTAATTGACACCATAAATAGTCCTGGTGCATATTTATCACACAGGATGCCACATGGACAGGAAGACTGCCTGCTGCAAAGCTCCCCAATAAAACTCATAGAGAAATGCAGTGGGAAAAGAGAGGGTAAAAAAAAAGAGCAGTGGTTATTGACCAAATTTTCATCACTAGACATGGCTTGGTGTTCAGCATGGAAGGACACTTATCAACACTGCTCTATTTCACAGTTTCATCCACTCTGATATTCTGCAGTGCAAAGCCTCCATAGCAACCATTTCTCCTCTCCTGACTTCTAGTGCATCACCAAAGCTGCCACAGGATAGTGAAAATCAGGCAACACAAGCCAAAAAAAACTTTTAAAAAGCTTTATCTTTGACATCTTCTCAGAGTAGCCCATCTTAGAGCAACATAGTTTGGCTTACACTAGATGGTTTTGAAAACAGATCAAGGAAAAGTATTCTCTATTTTACTGGTTTTCTGAAAAGAGTGGAAGGAAATTCCCCTGCGGTCATCCTTTAATCATGATTGAAAAGCTCTCTTCCCTACATTTCTGATTGCAAAGGCACATTGCACACCTTCTATGCCACCCCCAGTGGAGACTAATTAGAGACTCTTAATTTCTAAGATTTGCACCTTCAGGGATAAAGTGGCCATCTTTTGGGCTCACAGACTATTTTAACTACAAGAGCGCTCATATCTCCATGTTTCTAGATTTCATCTTTCTTATGAACCTGTAATCAGGGTATTTTGAAAATTACTGGAAACGTGGGAGAACTTAAGATGTCAATAAAGCAGCTACATGCCCCAGAATAATAGATGGCCTGGATGGCCTGATGGCCTGTTTTCCTTTCCAGGCACCCGTAGAGAAACAGGAAGGACAACGTGAGCTGGCCAGGTTCCTAAAACCTGAAGGTAACTAGAACATCTGTAAAGAGACCAAGATAGTCTGTAAAGGCCGTGTGGGACAGCAGACTTGAAAGTGAGCAGGCTCCCCACAGTACATGTATAGGTTGGCATAGTTTCTCCTCTGGTGACAAAGCATTAGCTCAACTTTGGAGGTAACTGCCGATTTTGCCTGGTGGATTGGGTGGCAAAATGGGTTGAACTTTGGGCATCATCCATGTTAGCGTGAAAGAGCTACTCCTTTGGGATCGCCACTCTTGAAGTCGGCAATCTAATTGGATGGCGAGTTGCACCAGATCTTCAGTCAGGTGCCTCAACTCTACAAGATTAGTCTTTAAGAGTCTCTGATAGGTCCAAGTGATACTTTAGAGCAGCGTCATTACGGTCATCTGCAAACTTTGCTGGTAAAATTTTCCACCAGACACGGACCCTGTTGAAGTGCATGTAAGGGAGCTCTGCTGTAGCTGAGCATTGATGATCATTATAAAGTTGAGCTAGCAAGTGAAAAAAATGATGTCACTGAGTTGAGAACAGGATTGAGTTATTCTAGGAGGTGGCATGCCCATGACTGGGGTTCATCTATCAGTAGAGATAATGAAACCCACCTTTACTGATTTCAGTAAAAAATGAGGATGCAAAGCAAAGTTCACATGCATTTTTAAATGCATGAAATTTCCACTGATGGACTGAAAAGTTTTCAGCAGTTGGCACCTGAGGTTTTGGTAGTGGTATAGCCGCAATAGGTGTCACAGGTTGAGAGTTACTGGAGGTAGAAGCTGGTGTGTTTACACTTTTCACCAGGCTAGGAGCCAAGGAGATGGTAGTGGCAGACAGGTTCTGTATCCACCCCTCAAGCTGGAAGTACCCCTCCTGCAGATTTTTAACAGCATGGATTAGTGCTGCAATTTGTTGGCACAGAGTCTCTAATGGGATAGCACCTCTTTTGGGCTCGGACATAGCTAGATGTTTCTGTTGGTTGGAGGCCAAAGTAACAAGATGGCTTCCCCTTGTGTCTGATCTGAGTACACTTGAGTGGGGGAAAAGAGGCAGATGCAGCCAGAGGCAGATGCAGGTACTTGTTGAGATCAAGGATGTGGTCAGAAAGCAAGCAAGGGTCAACATAGATGGAAAGCAAGTACGTAGTCAGTAGCCAAATCAGAGTCATACACAAGGAGCAGGAGAAAGAGAAGCCAAGCAGCATGCCGAGGTCAATACCAGAAAGACAACAAAAAGCATAGTCAGAGGCAAGCCAAGGTCAAAGTCCAGCATGCACAAAGCAAGGTTAGGAAAACGTCAAATCATCAATTGGAGATCAGGCAAGAAGAGCAGGAATGTGAGAACACAGGTCAGCGGGAACACTTGTAACTGAAGAATATCCACTGGTTAGCACACATGCAGATGTGCCAGAGTGTCCGTGCACGCTGGTTACTGGCCAAAATCCATCTGTGTGCTGGCACGTGTGCACGAACATGAGTATGAAAATTAGCTAGATGAGTATTGCTCTCCTGACAGTACCCCTCATCATTTTATCTATTATTTTTTCATATAGCACTATTCATTATTTTGGTACACCATAACCAATTACTGTAAGCCATCAGTGTCCTTAAGTGCAACCAATGATATAGTTGATTGTTAGGACACAGGTGACACAGCAGGGAGTTTTCATTTACTGTTGGTAGTAATACTGGCACTAAATAACCGACTTCCTGCTGCAGTGGTGGAGGTTTGTGCAACAGATCAAATCTAGACATTTAGTTAGCCTGGTCCTCAAATCATGTGCGATAAACCCTGTATAGCAATGAAACAAAACGTCATCTCTAACTCATATTTACTTGACTTTGCATTATGTGAGCTCATTAACAAAATACAAATCCTTCTATCAATGAACAGCAGAGTGGGATGGCAAGCAGCGATGTTATGTGTGAGAAAGCAGCTGCTATCCTGTCAAAGCCTTGAAGTATAGTGGTAGCTGTACTCCAAGAGCTTCCCGACGCGTTTCGAGGACTTGCCTCTTCCTCAGAGCCAGCTCTGAGGAAGAGGCAAGTCCTCGAAACGCGTCAGCCTTTTGGATGTCTAAACTCCCTATTGCGGACTGTTACTCAGCGCGGTGTTGATCCAGCTGTTCTTTTATGATGTGCCTTGACTATATTGTCGTTTGTGAGTACAACACCTACTTTATTATTTTTTATTAAACATTTTTTATGGTAATGCACTAAGCCTTGTCACATGGTACAAGCCTGTTGTGAATAGGCTTGTACCATGTGACCTCTGTGATCATTCACAGATTTCACACGTAGTAAGCAATGATGTCACAAGTGACATCTTGCTTACTACTTTGCATGTGATCACTGATTGGCCAATCAGTGATCACATGATCGGGACCTCGTACAGAGGTCCCGTCCGACGATCGGTGTTTCACTGGGCACCGGATCGCGGTGCTGCGCGCTCCCAGGGAGCGCGCACAAGCAGGGTGCAGGGAGGCCGTTTATAGACGGCCACCCGACCCTGCAGTGCCACCGTCCGGCCGTTTATATGCAACGGCCGGTCGGGAAGTGGTTAAGGTAATAACAGGTAAGGTGTGGCAGCTTATTTGTGCCTGCCAGTAGGTAAATTACTTCACTTTCTACCTTCATCCATCAGAAGGCTCTGTGCTGTGCAGCACAAGGGTCTCAGCCTTTGGGCTGGGTGTATGTAAATTTATTGTATGTTTCCAGCATTTGTGGTTGTGTTTATTTGCCACATCTAAGTAAAATTCTGTTGTGACAAAAGCTGGTGTTGGGGTTGCTTTCCTCGTTCGTGACTTCACTGTATCCTGGAGAGCCCACCCCGGTACACGGCTTACAGCAGTTGCATTAGTTTTGTTTTTCAGGCTTTTTTCCTTTATCTTTGCCTAGTGATCCTGCCAATAGCATACTTTCTGTTCTACAATGAAAACAATCACACTACCATATCAGGACAACAGAAACAGGACAGGGTTACTGAATTCCCCATCAATAACTTACAGTAGATGAGTGGGATGTTAGGGGACCAATACTAGTACAGCTAATGCTAATGTTACAGCTAATTCTCATTCTTGTGCAGCTAATGCTTGTACATGTATTCCAGCATGCAGAAAAGCGTGGGCACGTCAGCACATCTGTGTGCACCAGTACACATCGACTCACACGTCTATGAGCATTGGTGCATGCCTGTGCATGTGCAATCCCAGGAATATCACCAAGATGCCAATTTAAAGAAGGTCCAGATGTGTGCTCATTGATACATGTTCTTCAGCTACCCGTGACCTATGTTCCTGCTCTTGCTATCTGACCTGTTGCTGACCTGGCTTTCTACTGACCTTGCTTTGTGGTTTCCTGACTGTAACTTCAGCATGCTTCTGACCACACTGTTCTGTCTTCCTAGTAACAACCTCAGACCGCTGCCTGACTACTCTTCTCCTGCTCTTCGTGTATGACTCGGCTTGGCTACCAACCATGCCTTTGATTATAACGGGTATGTCAGGGATCCCGAGCCGGATCGCGTTGCACGGGTCTGCGCATGCACAATGTGCCGAGGCGCATTGGCGTGCGGGTGCTAGGACCTGGGCGCCCGCGACGGCAGCGGCGCTCGAGCATGCGCACTCGCGGACGCGCGCACTCGCGATCGTCGACTCGCGCACATGCGCACTCGCGATCGCGGACGCGCGCCTAGCACCAGTAGGAGCGCAGGGCGCCCTATTTAAATGGAATCTGACAGTGTTTAGTTGTCGTATGGCCTTTCCTGTGTTCCGTGAGTTTACTTTGCTGCTGACCCCGGCCTGATCCTGATCTGCTGTCTTCTCCTGCTCTGACCCATGGCTTGCCTGACCATTCTCCTGCCTGCTCCTGCACCCTTGATCCCCTGTTGCCGAACCTGGACCGTGACCCGTTTATTCTTCTGCCTGCCGTTTGTATCGACCTGCTCTGGCCTGTTTGACCCCACTTACTCTACCTCCTCACATCAGACTCTCACCTGCTCCGTACCACCGACAGGTGCCTCTACCACAGCTGGCTGCACCCTGCACCCAGGGGTCGCGACCTGGTCTCGGCTTGCTCCAAGTCCATCCCCACCATCAGGGGCTCTGGTGAACAAGCAGGTCGGAACTTAGATTCCGCGCCCTGGGGAATTCTGGTCTGTGGAACGCTAGAGGCTACCACTGGTTGGTCCCTGAGAGGGTACCTGCATCTACCTCTGACTGTGTGTCCTCACAGATCTCTGTGCCAAGCTTTTAGAGTCCAGTTCCTGGGTGCCATACTTGGTTATCTTCTGATGTACCTGTACTGCTGCTGACTGCTACTCAAAGGCCATCACTACCTGCTACATGATTACTGGCACCTGTGCTTCTTTGTGCCTTTGCTCCACACTCAAGGGCACTCAGACCAGAGCTGCAGGGGGAAGCCCTTTTGTCACTTTGGCCTCCAACCAAAGTATGTGTCATGGAATCTTGTAGTACTTGGAACAATATAACTGATTAGAGTGCAGCACAGGCAGGGAGCAAAGGAAGTTATCAGCTGATAAGATTGACAGGTACTTTTTCACAGACATCTTCAGACAGATATAAAAAACACTTTTATTGGCATATACTGTATGTAGCAGAGCAATTAGGGAACAAGTAAGAGAAGTACTTTGTTATGCTTTACATACCCTTGAAGCTGTGTTTACATCCAGAAGCTTACTTGCAGGCAATACTTGCAAATGAGTTGTGTTTGATGACTGAACTTCTCCTGATTGTCTGTGGGGAGTAAGCTTGAAAGCACAGGAGAAACTGGAATAGCTGCAAAACAGTACAGGAAAGCATGAAAGATATTATCACAAAATTTAGCAAATATCATCCTTGAGTTGATGTTAGGGCTTCAACATATTGATGCAGCTGAAGAGTCAGGTGTAGAGATCTCACAATGGAAATCCCAGAGAGAGAAAAACAAGATAGACTGGGAAACCATCCCAGGAGTTATCACAACTGCCAACATTAAATTGAAACATCATTTTTAGGACTTTGTAGGACTTTTTCTGTTTGCATTTCTCAGACCAAAATCTGGCAGACTACAAGTAATTGCACTCACACTTGTTTATTCGATATAGTTGCTCAAAAAGTAATGGCAGCCTGCGAAATGCATTAATCCAGTGCAACCAATCTGATTTAATTTTCTTAACGTTAGAACCGTGAAATGGGAATTCAGATAGATGCTTAAATGCACTTTGCCTACATGTCTTAAACAACAACCTTATGTAAAATCTATGATTGAAGCATCTGGTTCTATTGGCATTTGAAAGATGTAAGCTCTTGGAACTCTTCTTTTAGAATTCCTATTAACAAGCAGTTTAAATTACACTACATTAAATCTGTTATTATAAAATGGTCTTTAAAAAAAAACAGTGAAGCCATGATGCATTATAAAGGGGAAATTTACTCTCTCAATTAACTTTACTTGTTTTTAATCCCTGTGCTGTTAGCCTTAGTAAATATATATAGGAGCTACTGTATCTTTTACATACCCATTTTTTTACATTTCTGCCTGATTCTCAGCCTAGGCCAAAATGATCAAGACATGGGTGGATAGGTGAGTTTTTGCATTGAACATTGAAAATGACTTTAATAAATAGCATTTTTGGTTTATGGTGCTCAGCAACAGTTAAGTTCCACTTTAAATATGTGATTTTTGAAGCAGTTTGCATTTCTCCCTTTTATCAAAAAGAAGTCATAAATATGCATTGTACAAAGCATGTTAAGTGCCATACATTAACTTATAACAAAAGTATTCACTGTTTATTAATTTACAGTTAGATTGAGGGAGTTAAATTCAGCACCCATCTGACCCATATCTAGTATACATAGGACTCTAAGTCCCAAAGGGCCCTTGTGAAGCTGCACAGTCTGCACAAATGGGACCCCTCTCTCTGAGACTTAGTAAGATAGGGGTCATCCTAGGCTTTGATATTATAATATTCACATCTGAGGAAAGTGTGAGACATAGTGAGAAAGACAGAATACATAGGCCAATCTCTATAGTATGAAGACTAATTTGGATTCAAGCCCCATTTGTCTTTTTTGTACAACTGGAAACCTTTTCCTGATGATCACAGTATAATAGCTAAATAACTTATCCTTGTTGAGTACATGAAATGTCATTGCTAACCCTATTGATATGTATTCCTACAATTTAACAAATCTGAAAAACACTATGTTTTTCCACATCTAATAAAAAAATGGTAGTTTCACAATAATTTCCATTCATGGGTACATTATACCAGTTCATTACTGATAGAAAATGTATTAATATAACGTCTGAGAGTAAGAATATTATTTGAGTGATAAAGCTAACATGTGGGGTCTTGCAAGCTACTATGGTGCCACAAAAATTATATATATTAACCAATAAAGTGCTGCAAATGATTAAACTATTAGATTAAATTAAAATTAAAACAGTAGATCGCCTACACATTACCCATACCAATGTGTCATAACAAATCCAAGAAATATATAATAGTATTGCGCTCCACTGACAAAGGTATGACCAAACTGTTAAATGAGGTCATAGAAGGCTTGTGTCCCTTTAAATTGGACTTAGAATTGAATTGGGATGGGAATATCACTCTGCAAAGTTAGAGATCCCCTCACTTCCTTAGGACTCTGCCTCCACATGTGTATATGCCATAAAGAGTAATAAAAACATAGTGCTTTATCTTCTTTTAAAACACATTTATTAAATAAATAGTAGTGCACTCGCATGTAATTGTAGTTAAATTTTGCTTTAAACCGCTTAAAAATCAATCCACAGTGTGCATTTGAAATCACTGCTTTGTACTTGCTGTGTGTTTCCTGTCTCCTTAAGTGTTGTGATGTCAGAGCCCCTCCCCTATGCATTACGCCACCAGGTCACGTGGCTTTACAAGGGGGAAATGATTGGATGGCACGGCGCTCATTCATTTATATAGGAATCTGTGGGCCAATATGTGTGATATTGTATTTGGATACAGAACTTGTTTGGTTAAATATTTGGTTTTGAAACCACCTATTTTGTTTGTCAGTGGAGCGCAACACTATTATATATTTCTTGGATTTATTTGAGTGATATTCTGTAATTTTATTATATTTTATAATTACAGCAGATAACTGTCATTTTGTATCTGCTGGTCTCAAATTATAAGGAATATTTAAGAAATGTTAATGACTTCCTTTGCAGTAAATCAATGTTACAAATATACTATAAAAGCTTTTATTGTTGTTAATTATAGATAAGCTAATCAGAAAAAAACCTAAGTGGATGGAGGAAAACATATTGTAGAAATTGCAGTTAAAGCTTCAAAAATAAACAAATTAAAAAGCAATAAAAAAAATCAACAAATCTATAATTTTAAATAAAGCTTAAGGCTATGAACAGTTAGACTTTATGCATGATTCAAAGACCTTTGAAATTAATGTTTAGTATTAGAAATAAAATGTCCCTAAAATATGGTTTTCCAGAAGACAATTTAAATAAAACTCATTAATAATTTGA